AGACAGAGGAAGAGAGAGGGTTAAGAAAAGAGGCCTGCGGCTTTAAGACCACAAAATGCTGTCATACCTGTCAGCTGCAGCAAAGTTAAGCTCTAATGGAAACCATGCTTAATTTTTAAAAAAAAAAAAAAATTTCAGGTCAATACTTTTAAAAAACTTAATTAATCCAGCTCTGTTCTTAACCTATTTAAACTTAACGCAAGGCTGATGACCACATGATTTTTTTTCTTTGTGGGGGAAAACAGCTCTCCTGCCTGACATGAAATTGTTACGAATTTACTTTTTGATTGAGAAAGGAATGGGAAACATTGTTTCATAAAGAGTGGTGAAATTTAGATTTTAAGCGAGATTTGGGGAAAACCAGGGCAAATTTGATCTGATTGTGCAGTCTAACATAACCTGAGCTGTAAAGAAATGTACATTAAATTTGGAATTTTGATAAATGAATATTCCTAGCAAGTGAATAAAATGTATTCAATTAACTAAAACCCTGTGCACTTCTGAACTGAAGTGGAATCGACTGTAATTGATTTATTTGAAACCAGAGGTTAAGGACTGAATTAGCTAAGTACAACTGGGTATTTCAAGCCACTGACTTCTCAAATGTCAAATCCCTTCTATTTTAAATATTATTTCAGCTGCGGGGCATTGCGGCCCTGATGGTAGTTCCATCAAGAACTCAAATTATATTAATATTCGATTTTGGGGAGGAATGGGTTGGATGGTGATTTTCAAAGGGTGTTGGAGAACAGAAGGGGTAATGGAGGAGCATTGTGTTTCCATAAAAATTGGGCGTGGTAATTAGCATAACCTAGCAAGCATTCTTATAATTCAACTATGTATCCTAATTTGACTTAATTCAAAGATAATCACTGCTGTTAGTATATAAACATTGACCTGTCCAATAATCACCATGTGTTTTAGAAAGTACACATTGGTTACAACAGAGGAAGCCAAAAATCCATGTAGCCTTTGGTTAGTCCCATAAAAATTATTTTTAATAATAACCCTCTAATCTTCCCACCCCTTAAAATATATATACAACTTCTTTTAAATGTTTGTTAAAGAAAAGAAAAAGAAGTGATGATATCACAGTCCTCAAAATGTCCAACTACAGAATAAAAATAACTAATTCTGTGCCTTTGGAAACCATTGTTTATTATGACCTTGTAATGTTCTAACCCACTATTTCCTTTCTGTCTTTCTCAGGATGCAAGGATTATATTGGGTTCAGGTTTTCCAACATAACAAGCATCTGTAAATCCAGATATGAATGAATGGTATTTAATAAGATTGTTTTCGTTTTAAAATGAGTATTTATGTGTCGTTGGAGAAAGAGCAGCAATGTATGGCTGTTTATGAATGCTATTGTGCCTGAGGTTAGGATCCCCCCACACAATCTGAGATGCAGCCAAGAAAAACAGCCCTGATAGACAATGCTTCACTTCACCTGCTACGCTGCTGTGTGCATTTCATTTCTGTCAAGAGTATGTACAGTTAGGGTTCATTCGCCTCATTATTTTGTTACATCTACGTTACAGTTAACCAGTCTCTCTAGGAAATAATAAATAACCGCTTTAAGAAACAATTGCCGCCTTGCGTTCTGAGGATACACTCCCCATTTGGAAAAAAAAAAATTTTTTTTTTTTTTTTTTTAAACACACCATTGTTATGAATTCTCTGGCATTGGAAAATAGAATTTAGACTCCACCACCTCTCGGTCGTCTGTCGGGATCGATTTTAAACTGCCTCCCATAAGGAGGTTAGAAAGCAAAGGCTGCAAAATGGACACTGCCCAATGCTTGGCTTCCCCAGTCCTGCGGAATGTCAAAGCCAGGGACACATGCTAGAGCTCCTGCACGCGGGAGATTACCCTGCACCTAGATACTTTCTCTGAATTTCCTGTAAACCTCCCAGGGAACCACCTCCATTTTCTTCTGAAAAATCATTCGAAATCCTCCTCCCTTCCAAAGCAGACTTTCCAAATGAGCTTTAAAAGCCCTGATTCGCCGTCTTTATGTACAGGAAGTCCTTCCCCTGCACGAGCTAAGCACAGAGTCCCGTTGTGGTAGAAGACAGATCGGCGAAGTCTGCAGAGCCCCCCACCGCCCCCCACCTCTGAGAGCAGTTTATATTTCTATAAGGCTCTAGGAGGAGCCCCGTGGTGACAGAAAGGGGTGGGTCGGCGGCATTTAGGGGCAGGCAGAGCCGATTCTGGAAATCAACATAATTTCCCACTCCCCTCTGCTCCCATAAGAACAGCACAGGAGTGAATTCCTCTCTAAATGAAATATTAAAATAAATAGGAGGCAGCCTGCCTGCTCTTTCTCTGCCCCGTGTACATTTCTGCCACCGTCCCTTTCTGCTCCCAGAAAACTAGGGATAGTTTTAGCTCGTGTGCATGTCTCAGCCTCTGAGAAGCCCAAGCTAGCAAGTGAAGGTTGAGGCATTTCCTTTGTGCTAATGAACTAACCATTTAAATTTCAGTTATCTTGAGACAGGAGTCCAAAGTACTTAGGGGAGTGTGTGTGTGTGTGTGTGTGTGTGTGTGTGTGTGTGTGTGTGTGTGTTGGGGGGGGGGAGATGATGTCTTCTGTTCTCCATCTTCCTGGTCATCCTTAATGTCTGGTTCTGAAGGTTTTATATTTTGGTTTCCAAAACACAAATGAAAACCTAAAGAATCAACATAAATAAAATAAAACTTTATTTTTTAATAATAAAATTAATGTTTCTAGTAAGGAAAAGATAGTGTGTCATTCCTTTAGCAGTACAAACAATCTTTTATCCAAAAGAATACATTGGGTTTTATTGTGTCATTTGTCTGAATACAGACTCAGTGGAATATCTAAATGATACCCTGCTCTGAACTCCAAGTTGAAAGTAAGTTTTTATTATACTTTAGGGAAACAATGGGTTCAGCTGCTTATTGCAAGGAGCAATTGCCAAGGGAGAGTTAAACTCAATTACTGTAACCATACTGAATAAAAAATACTGCCAAGAACAAAAATACGCCTGGGTAAAGACAGCCACTGAATAAAAAAAAATCGACATAAAGCGTATCAAATATTTATTTATCTGGGCAACAAAGGACTATGATACATTGACAGGCATGGAAACTACTGCCAGCACAACTCAATACAATACAACTAGAACTGCTTCCAAAATGGCCAGTGAAAACACAGAATACCAGGTGGTCCCAAATGTTTGAAGTTCTTTGAACAAAAAGAGAGAAAGAGAAGGGGGAAAAAAATCCCTAACCCTTGGTTTAAAGACAATACTCATTTATTGCTCAAATGATGCTTTTAAGGGAGGACAGTGGAATAAAATTAACTTTTTTTTTTTTTCTTCTCTCCACACAATACATGGAAGGGTTATGAAACCACTCAAGTTTAAAAATCTTTCCAGGGTCCAATATCAATTTTTCTTTCAGTTCAATGAAAAGCTAAATGTAATTCTGATTGTATATAAAATTTTGCTTTACTTGCTTTTTATTTGTTCAGCTGTTTCATTGTCATCTTTAACATGCTAAACTCATGAATCCCAGAGGAAAAAGAATCCCCCCAAACCTTGAATTTCTAAATAAGTACCATGAACCACATGAAGAACTAAGAGGGAAGGTCCGAAACCCACTAAACAAGAGCTAAACGAGATCACCAGATAAATAAAAATTAAAAAAAAAAAAAGGCTTAAAACAGACTCACCATATTTACACTTCCCATTAAATTACACATAAATAAATATATACAGAGACATGAACACTGATTCCCTTATGTCACTGAACCGTGTTGCCAGAGAAAGTTCAAGTTGGCCGCTGTGCTTGGGGGGGAACTAAGACATGACATGAACTCCGTGTATTTGTGTTCAAGTTTATTCACAATACTGATAAAAACGTCACTGTCCTTTTTGCCGTTTTTCGAAGTATGGCTACAATCTGAACGCATCAGAAGTATGGAAGGGAAGGTGGTGGTGGTTCAGTCCCATGAAGCTCATATAATTTTTTTTTTTTTTTTTTTAATTTTTACGGTCCTTTTTTTTAGAAA